AAAATTGATACTCCAGCAAAAATGGAAATGGGATGGTCACGTCGGCTGAGTGAATGATAACAGATGGAAAAATAATACACAGAACGAAAATCATTAACAGGAAAGCGATCAAGGAAAACACCAGAAAGACGGTGACAAAATGACACTAGAGAACGGACCAGTACAACTTAGACAGGCAAAACGGCTAATACGGGATGCCCATTGCAGTCGGAATCGGGTCGGGTCGGGTTGGGTCAGGAGCTATCGCTCCACTCGTCGTCTTAAAACAAACGCGTTTGTTTATGAGGCGACGAGTCGGGCGCGATCGACTTGTGCCATGATAACCACTTTGCGCCATCAATCTGGCCAGCAAACCGCCCCAACAAGTCCCGATCCCCCAATGGGCACCCCTTATGACAGGACAGAGTGGAGGTCGTTGTTGGAGGGCTGCATCCTGCACTGGACAGACAACACGAGCCAACTTTGGGGAGGAAAGATTATGTCTTTCGAGAAAGGAGCCCTACCTTGCTTTCGATCTCTGGAGCGATCTCTTCCTTCTTTGTCAGCAAAACTCTGTTCTGAATCTAACATTGTCCCTGTAGAATCCCCGAACTGCTCGCTCTCGCTTCTCAACCTGCTCTCGTAACCGCTGTCAGAATTGGTGTCTACCACATCCTCGTTATTGAGAATCATTTTCACTCTGACAGCCGAATCATTATCCGTGCTCTCTGCCTTTTCCTTGGATGTTTGTTGGGTTTGGTCCTTTTTAGCTCCTTGATCATAATGTGTTGATGACCTTCCATTTTTGTCACTCACCAGCTCTGCAACGTTTTCCTTCTCGTTTTCGGAATCAGAATTACTTTCTGATGAAGAGGGGGAGCCGTAGAGGTCAGGGGGTAAAATGTGACGATATCGCTTATAGAGCTCTCTCTCGTCGCTTCGTTTGCTCTTCTTCTTCGACTGTTTGTTCTTCTTCGAAACTTCTTTATCTTTTGCAACTAGGAACCTGAGGAGAAGTCAGATTTGAAAAGGTTACAGAGTCCCAATTGTGATAGCAAAATATAAGTAGTAGTAGTAGTAGTAGTAGTAGTAGTAGTAGTAGTAGTTGTTGTTGTTGTTGTTGTTGTTGTTGTTGTTGTTGTTGTTGTTGTTGTAGCAGTCACAGCAGCAGAAGGAGCAGCAACTTTTATTCTTTCTTCCTCCAATAGATTCTGACTTTTTGTCTCTATTTCGACTAACTTCAGATATAGGATGGTGCACAATTATAGCAATTGGCAACGCTGTCACCCTTAACAGCAACATCACCACAAAAGAAATCGATTAAACCCTGCTTCGGCGACTTTGGTATCTCCTAATTAAGGCGTACATTTTGAAATTACAATCTAAACGTTTGTTTGTTTTTGTTTTTTGTTTTTTCGAAGGTATGACAATACTCCCTTATACTTTGGAGCTAATTATCAGAGAACTCAATAATATAAGTACCCCAACCTCCGCAGACCTTTTATTGATGAAGTGAGTTTACGAAAACATCAAGCTCAAACAGAAAATTTACCTGGTTAGGGTGTTTAAATTAGACCCAGTGTAGTTCTCAGGTCTTGCGTAGTAATCCAAATCCGTCTCCGGGGGCTCAGATGATTTGGTCCGGGCTGACATTATTTTTTGGCTGTTCTTTGTCACAGTCGAAATAAATCCGGGAATGTACACTGCGCTGTAAATTAAACAAAAAGATTTAGAGTAAAATGATAGTCGTTTTCACAGAACACAAAGTGGCGCCTCGCGTAGACGCAGTCACAACTCAGAATGATTCCTCTGGGAGAAGAGATTCGGCTTTAACGAGTCTCCGTGTCGGAATTAGGAGCAAGAAATTATATAAAATTACTCGGTCTGGTGATTACAACTCTGTATGGTCGATAGTTATGGCAAATGCGGCTTTATTCACGCATCTTTATTCGATGGAAATGATTAGTCGATTGCTGAGAAAAGCTATCGATTTTGCCACTGAATATATTGACAGATTGCGCCGAATGGTTTTTCAAGCTTCGAGCTCTTGCATTGATTGCGTTCTTTTTGGATTTGCTCGGTGTTATGTGGGAATTATTTCTTTTTCGTTTATTGCTCGTGATAGTTACGGGCCATCTTTTAAAAGCATCATGAGAAAATGAGAGACTCAGTTTTTTTCATAACGGGAATCGAGAGCTACTCAGGTTTATCGCTATTGAGGACGGAGGTCATGTTTTTTATGTAATATACAGGTTATCCGATTTTTTATACAGAGATAGTCATTAGTATTTTTGATATATTCTGTAACAGTTCACATTTCAAGAACGTAGCTTTTTCACGATTCCGAACTTCTGGCTACCCAGTACTTCACAACTCTGACAAGCAAAACGGTCTTTTTACAATATGGCTTGACAGTTGAAGTTCATAAAGGAATTTAAAAGTGCGAACTTTAGGGCAGAGACATTCCAGGGCTTTTCAAAGCTTTTAGTTTTCATGAGGAAAGTGTAAAACAGTATTATGAATTTGCCTGTTTTAGAGAAAAAGGAATATAATCTCAGAGAGTTTTCAACCCCTGTGAACATAATTTTAATATCATTTAGGAGGCGGACTGCCCGACTCTGTGTGTCAGGGCCAACCTGGATAGACTGAGAGGGATACAGTGTTGTACAATGTCACAGCAGAGAGACGGTGTTACTTGAAAACAATTCTCTCCGTACAGGAATCGAAATCATGTTTCTTGTGTGCGTGGGTACGGCGCCTAACCGCTACATGACAGACACTGGTGTTTTTTGAGAGATAGATTGTTCGAAATTAAAATGGCACAGACAGATACAAACAATAATTGCTAAATAACGATTTAGAAGAGAATGTTACTCGTATTTATGAAACTTCGTTTGTTCTTTTTGGCTAATTTTTGTTTTCGTTTTAAAGAAAGTAAATGAAAAAAAAACCTTGGTTTTGACCCCCCCCCCCTCTCCCGCGCTAATCCTAAAATTCCCTTATCCACACCCTTTAAAACAGTTTTTTAAAAACATAACATAACAAAATAGCAAAAGAAATACAGAAAAACAAGCTGAAATAAAAACAAGCAATTAGACGCCTTGCAAATAAAATAAATTCCTTCCTTTAAACGGATAAGGTTTATAGAATTTCATTGCTTTTTAAATATTTCAAAGGTACTTCAGCAGCTGAGAGGCGAGTGGATGTTTATGTGGAATATCCACCCCATCTCAATAAACTTAAGAATTAATAATTACTTAATGCCTTTTAGGAAATATAAACAGTAGGAGCGACGGAAGAAGAACGGTATCACATGGCCCTACGTCTAAGTAAGTGCCAAAACCCATGGGCCATTCAATTGCCCTCTTCTCAAGAACTTACACAAAAACTGTTCGTTGTTTTGGTCTAATATCAGTTTCAAGCCGTAAACACACATGACATCTTGAACTCCCACTCTGAACATTGTTGGAAGTGAAGAAGAAAATACACAGTGAACTCCGAATTTTACTGAATCCAAGCAATTGAAAATACGGCGGGCATTTCACAGTGGTCGCTGTTGTCTTCCTTTGTGTTTCATAATCGACAGTAACGCTGTCACACGTTTGAATAAGGCCCCTTTTGTCTTCTCTGACATTCAACGACGTTGAAGACCTAAGTAATAGTTCCACTCTAGATAAAGTTGTCTTTTATTTGCATTTTCTCACCTTGCTCAATCTGCCCTATCACAATTAGAATCCTTCGCTTGTATTTACATCATGAAAGTTGTAGACAACCTTGGAAATTTCACAAAGCTATCCGCGAACATTGTGGGTTTACAGCAAGCCCCGCCTCACCCCTGTCCCTAAATCACAAGAAGGCCGTTATCCATTCATGGCGAAATCCCGCGCTTTTGTGAAGTAACGTTGAATAAGGCTCATCAGAACCAATAACTCGACGAAGCTCAACCCGTTACAAGGAGGCTGTCAGAGAGAACAAATTTATTGCTGGGTGAGGTCTTAGGCAAACCGGTTCCTGAGAGTTAGGGAACCCCAGCTAATAGAAATACAGGTGTTGTTTATTACATATGAAAGAGAATCTTATCTTTCCGTCTATGTTCGCATTCCACTTTCACGCCTTCTATCTATCTATCTATCTATCTATCTATCTATCTATCTATCTATCTATCTATCTATCTATCTATCTATCTATCTATCTATCTA